GAAATCAAGCGGCAATCCATTTACGGACATAATAATATCATTGAGATCTCCACTTGCAGCAAAGAGAAGATTAATGGGCTTATTAAAGCTTGATTTTCCGTTTGCAAGTTCATTAAAAGCTATTTTAACAATATCAATTGCGGGCATGTTTCCCCATAAAGATTTGACTTTTTTCGAAGGGTTAACCGAAGGTGTAGAAGGACTTTCTAAAAGAAATGATGGTATTCTTTTTTCCTTGACATAATCAGGCTGCCAATCTTTTGATGCGATATCAGCTTTACAAATATGTTTATGAACCTTCCAGTGCATCTTTTGACACTCTTTGCTGCAATAAAAGATAACTCGACAATTACTACAAAGCTTATTACCGATGTTCTTACAGAAGTAACGTTTGTCGACATGGACATTTGCACATATAACTTGTTCGAGTTGTTTACCATCTAAGCCAGACCCAATAATATTATTGTTGGGAATACTCATTAACTCAAAGGGAACATGCTCAAGTTCATGCTGTTTTGCGAATGAAAAGATTCGTTTCATTATTGCCATTCTGCGATTCTCATACATCTGGTATTCCATTAAATCTTCGCTATTGGAAGTAAGGCATACACGATTTAAACCGAACTCGGAAATATCTATTTTCTTTAAAAGTTCTCTAAATTTTTTTTCTTTTTCGACACGTGGTAAGGTCTCAAGCTTGTCGAGAGATTCATAAAACTTTTCATCTTTGGTTATAAGTGCTAAAGTTTTGAGTTTCTGTGAAAGATTCATTTGTATTTGACTGGTGCTGGACATCCTTGAATCTTACGAGTATTTTATATTTTATTGGAACTATTTGTGATTAATAGAGTGATTCAGGGTAAATGATCAAGGTAAATTAGTGACGTATTTATATATTTCGAAGCATGAAAAATTGTTTTTGTCGATCTTTCATCCGTTGTTACACGAGTCGCACGGTAATTGTTTGGATTTTTTTCTAGAAAATTAAGGAATATATCACGGAAATTATGCAAATAATTTCATCGTCAAGTACGTTTCAAATTCCAGAGACAAGTAGAACATCGCGAATAATTAGGCTGTTTCTAAAATATCTTTGTTTAAAAAAAACTATAGTCATGATATTAAAATTTTTAAAAATTTG